TCTATATTTGGCTTATGTTTGTAAATATTTAAATCATGTTTGGTACAAATTAAAATTAAAATTTTAATATAAATCAAAATCAATAATTAGTTTTAACTACACATTTTATGGGATCCATAACTTTTCAACCATATATTTTAACAACTTTTACCAAAATTTACTAAACATCTGATTTTAATTCGCACCAAATAAGGGCTTAAACTATTCTTCTATCAATACTTTCAATAGATCGACAAGTCACATTAATATTCATCACTGATTTCTATTCATTTATAATTAAAATAGTTTATAAACACTTCCTAAATATGTTTTTCAAATTTGAGAGTGCACGATCATAGGATTGGAAATATGAAAAATTTAGTAAATAAAAAAGTTTTGAATTCACATGTTTTGGCTTTTGGCTTTGGTTCAGCCACCATTTCTTAAATTTCGACCGTTGAATTCACATGTTTTGAATTTAGTGTAATTCTTCAACTTATTGATATTTAGAGCCCGTTTTATAAAATTTATTTGAAAATAATGAGTTATTGAATAGTATTTTTTAAGAATGTGTGGTTAAAAAGTAAGAAAATTTAATTGGTTTGTATGTAGAATATTTTATTGTGTAAATGTGTGATAAAAAAGATACTGTAGCAAACAATTTAATTTTTTAAAGGATGATCAACATGGTCCTAAAGTGTGACGAAACTTTTTTTTCAACTCAAAGTTTGGTATGTAAAAGGCACGACATAAATTTTGGTGTGTACTAAAGTGTGACCATTTTTAAGTCATGTTCAAGAGTCTGAGGAGATCTATTTTCGAAAATAAATAAAAATATCTAGATTAATTTTGTGTATATTCATAATCTCGACAATTGGCATAATCCATACGATCTCGTCCAATTTATTTGGTAAAATTGGTATGTTTTACTTAATATGAGATATTCAGAAACCATGTCGAGCAAGTTAGGCACAATCAAAATTTACACTACTCCTAAATTTAATGATAGTAACACAATCCAAAATAAATCAAACAATTAGAAAAATATCACGAGCATGATTATGACATTTTTTTTTGGCTTTTACTTGGATTAATTACCGTTACTTCTATTCTACTTTACAATTTAAGAAGTACGTTGAACTAAGAAAATTAAAATTGCAAAAATAGTCAACATCAATCACTATTTCATAATACACTTTTTGAAGTTAAAGAGGTACAAACATACCCTAATTTATTTGAAATATTAAGAGCCTGTTTGATGAAATTTATTTGAAAATAATGAGTTATTGAATAGTATTTTTTGGAGAATGTATGATTAAAAAGTAAGGAAGTTTTGTTAGTTTGTGTGTAGAATATTTTAGTGTATTAATATGTGATGGAGAATGGTATTGTAGCAAGCATTTAAATTTTTAAAGGATGATAAACAGGGACTAAAGTGTGACGACTTTTTTCCAACTCAAAGTTTGGTATGTAAAAGGGACGACATGATTTTTGGTGTGCACTACCTAGTCCCTAATATTTTGATGTCTGTCATAGTTAATGACCATTTTTAATTCATGTTCAAGAGTACAAGGAGATCTATTTTCGAAAATAAAAACAAATATCTAGATTAATTTTGTGTATATTCATAACCTTAATAATTAGCATAATTCCACACGATCTTGTCCGACTAATCTGGTAAAATTGGTATGTCTTACTTAGCACGGAATATTCAGAAACCATGTCGAGCAGGTTAGGCACAATCAAAATTTTACACCACTACTAAATTTAATGATAGTAATACAATCCAAAATAAATCAAACAATTAGAAAAATATCACGAGCATGATTATGACATTTTTTTTTGGCTTTTACTTGGATTAATTACCGTTACTTCTATTCTACTTTACAATTTAAGAAGTACGTTGAACTAAGAAAAATAAATTTGCAAAAATAGTCAAAGATATACAAAGCTAAATAGTAAATACCCTTACAAGAATGGTCCAAAAATACCTCCAAATTAAGACTAGTTGCCCGTGCATCAAATATTTTTTATGAAAATTAATATAATCGAATTAGTTTCAATACCAAGCTCAACCCTATTGAATTTCTTGGCATTCCCATTATGACTTTATCCTCAAATCACCGACACGGAAATTTGTGAAAATAAGTGGTTCCATGTGATAAGTTTCCCTTCATAAAAAAAAAATAATAAAATAAAATAAAATAAAA